AAATATAAAAAGCTGTTTGAGTTTTAGCTTATTTTTAGTGCTGTTTTTATTTATAGCAAAACCAAAACTACTGTTTGTTTCGCATATTTTACACCAAAAAATGTCTTAAAATACAAATTAATTTACAGTAAAGTGAAGTAAACTTAACTGAAAACAATTGTTGCTTTTTTCCTTAAAAAACTATAATTCAATTGTTTTTAAACTAAATTAAAATAAAAACTTATTACGAGAAAAAAATAAATATTTAATTATTAAAATTAAATGCAAGTTTTGTGGAATGTTTTGCGAGAAAACAATTCATAAAATTAAAATTAATGTATAATTAATATATTGATTGAGTGGTTAAGTACTGATTAATATGCAAATTATTATCAAAACAAACCGTTCATATCGTATATAACATGCAATCAAGTGTTCAACGGTTTGGTCGCCGTCTTATTGTCGGCGTTGAGATTGTTCTTCAGCTGATTCTTCTTCAGAGTCTTCAACTGTTTGATTATCTTTGAATGGTTGGCGATTTGCCGCAGGAATACATACACCGCTTCGGGAGTACATCCGCTCCGAAGCAGATTCAGTAGAAGACTAATCCATTCAACAGATAATAAGTTAGTAATTATTAGTCAATATCATCGATGAATATCTCATTTGAAAGACTCATTGCTTACCAGAAGACCTCATAACTGATCTCAATGTTTGTCGTTTGAAGCAATGAATAGAGTTTTACATTATTGGCCGAAATGTCTTCTTTCGTCGATTTGTGGCCATTAGTGGCCGAAAGTCGTTCGCCGTTTTGCATCGTCTCGACCATCGCTCACCACAATCGGCGACCAATCACTCACTTATCACTCTCTCAGTCCTTAAGACACGAGTCTAGTATCACAACAAATATGAGCAAAAAATGTGTGGAAAATGCAAACCAAAACACAAACTGTTTGTTGACTTTCAGTGGTTAGAGAGAAATGGTTTGAATGTTTGCTTTCAATGCATTTCAACCCATAAATGATGTCTGAGTTTGAGTTACTCTACAAAAACAACACCCCTTTAGCGATGCGGCGGTCGTCCAAACATACAGCGAACACACCGTAACTCTAACCCAAAACAGGCGTCGTTTACGTCCACTCGACTGTATTGTCGACTGTATTGTAGAGCATATGAATAGAGTGTAAAAGAGTTGTGCAATACTTTTGGTATACCATTAATACTGATGTTTGGGATGAGAGAGGGTTTGGTTGGGAGTCATAGAGAATACAGTGTTTGAGATGTGATGTGAGAAATACAAGCACTCAATGAGTGAATGAGATATGCAGTGAAATGCAATGAAATGGCATTTAAATCAATG